CAGTCCTTTTTCGGCAGAAGATAACAAGACATACATTCGGACTGACAGGCCTATAGACTGCAGGCAGACAGGCATACAAACAGGGGGATAGACAGAAGATACGGTAAAACAGACAGTTTATAGAAAGAAAGATAAATGGTTGGATGGAAGGGTGGGTGGACGGAAGGATGGGAAGACGAATGGATGAATAGAGAGTTCATAGAAAAATAGAAACTACGTTACCACAGTCGGAAATTCAGAAAACGACAAAGGAGCCACTATCAAACAGTTTTTGCAATACTTACCTGCAGAAATCCTACTCAACACGGTAGATATAAAATGGTTTTCCTCCTCAGAATCTATGTTGAGGAGACTTGCGTTCTGCAAGCTGCACATGTTACCGGCGGCTTTGATACCCCGGACCTTGTCGAAAAACCTGTAACATTTGCCGAAGCCTGACACCCAACCATCGGGGCAACCTGGAGAAGGAATGTTAAATAATATCTGTTCATCGATTTATTCCGATTTTGTTTGTTTCCTTTCTTAATAGATAGATGAATTAAGTTAGTTAGTTAGTTAGTTAGTTAGTTAGTTAGTTAGTTAGCTTGCTAGTTAGTTAGTTAGTTAGTTAGTTAGTTAGTTAGTTAGTTAGTTAGTTAGTTAGTTAGTTAGTTAGTCAGTCAGTCATAGTTAACTATTCATCCATTCATTCATTTATTCGTTTATTAATTTATTTATCTATCTGCAGAATGTGTTTGCTCGGTTATCTATCTATCTATGTCGATTCCGTAAACTAATATATGTTTGAACATATATCATATTAAAATTACAGCACCAACGTCTGTGGCGTAATGGTAAGGTGCTTCACTGTCGCACGCAGGAGACTCGAGTTCCATTCCATAGTAGGAAGAATTTTTGTCGAGTTTCTCGGTCTTTCTGCTGGGATGTTGTGTCCCTCTCATTCCGGGCAGGCACTGACAGGCAGGGTCGAAATCCCTCCTCTTGAATTATCTTAATTGTGTCGATGGGGGCGTGAAAACATAAAAAAAGAATTACAGCTGCAAAAGGAACAAACAAAAGGTAAACGCAGTGAACGCAGAAAAATTAAGTGATGGGGAATTGGGAGGTGTTGCAAAAGGGGAGGGGGGGGGGGTAGGGGGACTTGAAGAGTGACCAGAGAAATGCAGCGGAAGTTAGAATATAACAACACTGACGAAGGGAAGAGAGAAAGAATACTTTGTAAATTTCAGTTGATCGAATGCAAGCAATGGCCAGACTCATTTTCTTCTTTACACCTGGATATCTGGATACCTGGAGGTATCTCTGACTCAGAGGTTGACATGTAATGACCCACCATCCTTCACGGTCGCGAGCTGCCGTTGCACATTCTGCCATATCAAGGTCAGTCCATGTTCTTAATCATGTTGTCTATCTGGCTCTCTTGCCCCACATCTTCCCTTTAAGCACCTCTTTCACAATGGTCTCGTGTCGTTTTAAGTGGCCATTGTATTGGTTTTTTAATTTTTTAAATTGAAATCATCAGGGTTTGTCTTGTGTAGAATCTGACACACCTCATTATTTGTATTTTTTGTTTTCCGACTTATTCAGGCCATTTTACGGTAGCACCACATCTAAAACGCATATATTTTGTTTTTCTTCTTTCCTTTGCAAATTCCAGGTCTCTGCGTCATGTTGGAATATTGGGAAGATGTAGCATTCCAGCATTTCTTTCTTAAAGTGAGAGATAGTTGCCTGGATTTAAATTATTTTACACTTAGCTGAATCTTGTTTTTGCAGTTGCTGTTCTTATTTTTATTTCTTTTTCACTTCTTCCATAATCTGTGATTGTTGTCGTTAAATATTTGAACTTGTGCACTTGTTCGCTTATCTCCCCATCTATGGCTAAGTCTGTTGTTTTTCCAGAAGATCCTTTTTACGATAACGATAGTATGTAAATTCGACGAGTCGAACAAGTGTTCATGTGGGTGGTTCAAGCTGCTTTTTCCCATAAAACATCTGCCGTCCATATCTCCCCTCCTCCTTTTTGTGTTTGTTACTCCCTGGTGACACTTCTAATCTTCGGTACTTATATGACCTTATTTAGTTGCAAGTGCCGTAAAACGCTTACTAAAACTAAACTAAAACAAGTGTCCACACCACTTAATGAAGGTCAAACTTTTTTCCTCCAGCGACAGTGGAGGATCCTGCGTAGTTTCTTACAGAGACCTTACTCAGTAAGTGGAACGTGAGTCACTCCAGTCACCAAAGGGCTCAGATCCTTGAACAGAGCACGTTTAGATCGTACAAGGTCAACTTAAGGTCCAAGTGCTTATTCATTGTCCTTAGTACCCTCTGAAGGTTTACACAATTTCTTAATTACTGCACTGTCTGATCCGCTTATTCAAAAATACCATTTCGGTCCAACGTAGACATACAACGCCGGAGCTTGTTAAGCGCATAGCGCTGTCATTCACATATTATCCGTCCCTGACGACAGACAAGTACCTATTTGCAATTAGGATAACTGATATATCCTCGGTGGTTCTTCTGTATAATGTATTTACCTTTCCACCTCTTTTAACGAGCTGAATTAAAGTTGCTTTACTTTATCCCCCCC